GCCGTGTTCATAAAACATCAGAACATTGACTTACTAGAGCACGGACTGTTTGTAAATCATTTATCAAGTGCGTTTTTTATCAGTAAAATGAAATTGTTTAATGGATAGAGACAATAAACCTTTTTTTTCTTCATTTTTTTCATATTTCAAAAAACATGAATACAATCATTTACATTTACATACAACATTTGTTAACTAAATATAGAAAAACAAAATCCATCCCCATTTAAAAAACCCTTCATTAAAAACCGGGAACCATTTTCAGCTTCCCAACCAAGGGAAGCAGCATCACAGGGTTTTTCAAAAGCAATTTTAAACAAACCCGAACAAAAAATAACATTCTCCTATTTCAACAAATTTTCAACAAAGGTTGATACGACAGAAACTCCACAAAGGAAAATAATATGAAAACAAACGAACAAAAAATAGAGAAAGAAAAAAGAATAAACCTACTAAAAAAAATAACATGTTACACTAAAAAAATCACGCGCACCCGCACGCACGCACCCGCACGCACGCACGCACACCACACACACACACACACACACACAAGAAAGGAAATAAAGGAGACAAGTGAATCAGTTTCATTTAATTGTTTTACGTTTTATGGTTTAATTTACATAATATTATTGTTTTTTTGTCATCAGTATTATTTGTTAAAGTGTTAGATTACTCCATGTTTATTTCCACGATTCATCTTTATCATTTTGACAATGCAATTGGCTTCTTCTATCTGTATCCTTAACAGCAAAAAGTTTTCAAAAATATCAAAAGTGGGCTTACTTCTTTGGACAGTAAACTTTATTTTAAGGGAGGTTTGTTGTTTTTTTTTAATTCATCTGATTAAACTTGAATGTTTGGTAAATAATTAGAATAGCTCTTTAGATATTAAATGAATTGTAATTTATTAGATTGGCTTGTAAATAATATTTCTTGTAAAGATTATTGTATTAATAAATACGTATATAAATGTAAAATAACGTTTTTTTAAATAATTATTTTGGGGAGAAAGAACTACCTAATTCTGTTCAATTTTGATTGTGAAAAATATATCTTTAATTGGTGTACATTTACTGAGCTTGATCCTTCCCAACCAAAGGATCACAGGGACCCGGGACCTGTGGCATACCTCCTGTCGTTTCGTTGCAAAGTTTGGCATTAGCATAACAATGGCACGGTGTTCGAACAATTAAAAACCAATCGACGATTGCACAAACTTCAAAAAAAAGGGGATATTATGAATAAAAATAATTTTTATTTTAATAAAATAATAATGATCCAGGAAAATGGGGAAAACTAGGAGGGGGAAAAACTCGGTTCAACTTAAAATGTTGCCAGGCTAAGATTTATTAGCCAATTTAAATTAAAAAAAGGAAGGCGGATCCATAATAATCAAGTTAGAAAAATCATAGACGGTACATTTGTAATATAATTTAAAGGTTTAAACTTTTTAAAAACGGGGTATCATTTGTTCAAATAATTATGATTTTGCAAACAAATACAATGTAATTGATAAAAATAATAATCCTGAAATGTTTTAAACGATTCAAATATGCGTATATATGCATAACCTTTTTGTACAATATAGCCTTCCAACCAGGATCAAAAAAAACTCAATACCACATTCCCTCCTGTTGCAACTGTTGCAACTTGTTATCATTAAAAGGCAAAAATGAATGAATTGATGAACAGGCATTCGGGCCAAAATTCTTTCGGCGAATTCAACATTACTGGGATTAACGGTTAAAATTGGAACAATCTTTTTTTTAGACAAGGGGACATGTGTGAGCCAATGGGAATAGGAATTTCATTAGCGACACCAAAAACGGTATTTAACTCAATATTTAACTGTATTATTTTATAATGTATTATCTTTCATTAAAGGGGGTTTGGCAGACGATGGTTTTTTTTTGTTTGCCTTTAAAATTCTTTTTTGTATCTTTTTTCTCATCACTTGTTTTTTACCAATAGCTGGAGACAGTGACGATTTTTTAATTCTTTCCATTATCATTTATTACCATTCACCCCCCCCTTTTAATTTCATACAGGAGTTTTTCTTCTGTATGAGTCATCGGTCATTTAACAACAAAATAATTTTATACTCCTCGTCACTGGCCTTTAAAACTTTAAAAATAATTGCATGAAAGTATCGGAATAAATATGGTATCATAAATACTGGACGTTGTGGGGAGGGCTGGTTGCTAAAATGTTTTGGTCATTACTTGTTTTAGCCCGACCCATTTGCCCTTTATATTTATCTTTGGTAAAATTGGTTTGTTTTTGGTAAATCATTCATGTAACTTTAATGTGATTTATGTTAAAAGGGCCTCCAACAGACGGTAAGATTTTGAAAATTACAACATCAACTAAAAAACGTAAGCTGTACAAGCAAATCTTAAATGTGTGAAAAAGGCTTCTAATTTTTGAATTCGTACAACCCTTAAACTAGATTTATAGGTAGGGAACATGTTCTAATTTCTTATTTCTAGTTTTCAGGAACATTCTACGTGACAGATGACAATATTTTCCATTTTTTCCCGCTGACAAATTAGGGCTAAAGATATACATATTAGTAAAATAGAGAAAAACGGTGTGTTGAAAAACACCCTGAGAAACCACAAATGGTGGATGTTTCGAAAAACCAAATTACCAGAAAATGATTAATGGAATTATTTTTTAAATTTTTATTTATTTTAAATGGGAGGAGTTTCCGCATTTTTCATTACTCATTTTAAGGAAAAAAAAATATCGTGGGAATCATTACTCATGCAGAAAAAAAATTCATCGGTGAGAATTCAAAAATAAGAAAAGGCTTTAGGGTGCTCAGTTACATCAAATTCATTCAAGAAACATTTTCAAGTTTTTTTTTTTTTTTTTTTTCCCCAAATGCCCCGCCATGCTTTCTGTGGGGCGCTACCCTTATTCAATTTTTATAAAATTGGTCAAATACCCAACAATTATAATAAATTTACACTTTTTCCAGGTTTAAAAATAATGAATAGAAATTCTGGTATGGGGGGTTTATTCGGATGGAATTTTTTTTGGACGGAATCTGGTAATTCCATACAATATAGATTTCCCCGGTCTGAAATTCAAGTTATGTATTGCTTTGAAAAAGTGTACAATCCTATCTCCCTTATTAGTTGTTGTTAGGCAGCTAAATCATAACGTCTGTTGAGGCGCTTAAAGTCAGCCTTTCTGGAGTAAAACAATTTAGGCACGTTTTTTTAGATTTTTCAATACTATTGGTGGCAAAGGATTAGTTATATTGGACTCATGCGGACCGGGGGGGTCGCATTTATTCTATAACAAAACGGCACAAGAAATGTTTAATACGGGCGTAAATGAATACTTAAAATACTTTTTAGAAGAAATGGGTCAAACAATTAAACAGAAAAAGCGAAATTTGTACTTTTATTAAAATTGGTAAAAGAGACGCCAATTCTCGTTTTGTATCAATGTTGAAAGAGATTCATATATATTATGATATAGATAAATTAAATCGGAACATCATAAAAATTGAAATAAATCATAATAATAGAAGGCAAAGAACAGTCAGAATATTGATATTGCCACTGAGCTAGAACAGGTAAATGTATTACAATGGCAGAAATTTCTGTGAAAATATATATCATATCATATAACAACTGTTGCAACAAGACCATTTGCCACAAGAATACAACATATTCAATAATCTAAATGGACAGTTACTTGAAGTAACTAAGAAAATAACCGGAAGCAAAAATTATAAAATGCTTTGATCTGTTGTGCTCATTCATTACAGGGAATGTCAGTTGAATTTAAGATGTAAGAATCTGAACCGAACCCATCCTTAAATGAGTAAATGGGCACTAAATATGTTAAAGATAAGTAAAAAATTATAAAGGTGAACCCTCAGAAGCATTAAATATAGCAAAATCATTTACGAACAATTGCCAGACTCGGTTCGATCGATTCTGTACATGAGCTCTGACAGTTTTTACCAAATTATTTAAATTGCATGTAACGTTGAAAACCACCCGTATAACATTAATAATTATAAAGTGTGGTATATTGTGTGGTTTACTTGTGTAAGATAAATAATGTTAAAAAACATCAATCTACCTCAACTTCAAGGAACATTTTTATATCTTTCGAGGATTGTTGCATATGGAGTATGAACAAAAAAACGCATATAAGATAATAATTTTCTTGCATTGCTATTATTAGAAACATTTCAAAGATTTTCTTTTCGGTAAAATAAAGAAAAAAAAAAAATTGTTAATAATTGAAAAAATGAAATATCAGCGTTACAACTAAAGAACCTTGCCTCAAACCGGAATCGCATGAACCAGCATCACAATCGCCCGTAGAACTGTTGCAACTTGTGCCATTATAACAGTGGCAAGTTGAGGAACAATTATAACCAAAGGTACGATTAGCACACGCTAGAATATTGGATAATTTAGGTTTTTAAAATAACTTGAAATTGTAGGGCAAAAACAAACAATAATATCTCGGCATAAAACTCTACGATGCAAGAACAAATCATTTAGTTTTCATTCCAAAACTTTAGCTTTCAGAAAATGTATTCCAATATAAAATAGATAAATACAGAATAAAGAATAAAGCTCGGTCACAATGTTCATAGTTTAAAGGAATTGTCTTACATGATATAAACATATTTATTTACATTTAACAAAACGACATAAACGCTAAAAGGCACCATCTGATAAAAATATATGTATACTACGGAAAAGCTGAGCCGTAACAATACCGTAACAATAATAGAAAGTAGGTAAACAAATGAAAGTAAAACTGAAGATGATGTCAAACGATACACATATCATGGATACAGTAATCCATTTCTATACCAAAGTACCTAAGAATACATTTTAGAAATGATTTTAAAAATTACAAAATTATTGTTAAGTAGTACGGTTGGTCACATGCAGGACCTTGCCAACCTGACTCACATACCCGATTTGACATTCCCCTGTTTGTGCTGTTTGCAATGTGACTCAATTAAGACAATGGCATGATGATGAGCAATTATATCCAAAGGTACCATTGTTACATACTAAAAAATAGATTTAACCATCATTGCTTCCTTATTTAAAAAAAAAACAAAAAAATTAAACAATTGTTTGACACACATATGTGCAAAAGGGGGGGGGGGAGATTCGTAATATTGTGGTTAGGATATGATTTATAACATATAAACAAAACCAAAGCAATGAAAGTTCATAAATTGCAAAAAATCTACTCATGTTTGTGACTAAAATGAGTTTAGTTTTATTCTAATCTTTTGTTTAGCTTCTTTTGCTTCTATTTTATTTTGTGATATAAGAATACTCTTCTGATAAAAAGTTGAAAGTATGCTTAAATAATATATACATTATCCTTGGAAATATTAAATGATACCTTGATCACATGCAGGACTTTGCCAACCGGAATCACACAAACCATTATCACATACACCTGTTGTACTGTTGCAATTTGTATTATTCAGACAATTGCAAGTTGCTGAACAATTGACACCGAACGTCCGATTGTCACATACTGCATATAACAAAATAATGTAGAAACGGGAAATGAAAAAAATGATTGGAAGACCAAATTCAATTGATTACCATATGTATTAGAACTATACCTATTTCATTGTCTATATAGACCAAAACATGCACTATGAATTGAATGACCTTAGTTTTATGAATAATTATACACAATTCATACATAAGTTCCTTGATCATAACTAGGTCCTTGCTAATCACAACTCATGAATCGATATCACACGTACCTGTTGTACTGTTGCAATTTGTATTATTGAGAAAATAACAAAACAATGAACAATTGTAAAATGAATTGTGACCACAGTTTTTTCATGAATAATGATAAAAATTAAATAAAATTCATTCCAAGAGTATTATCATTAAAAACAATGTCAAGGAACAAATAATAGGTATACTAAATGTAATAAAAGTAACGGTTTTATTCTATTCCCCCCCCCCGGGTTTCATGTCCCCTTCCCCTGTGCCTTTTGACTTTATGGGCCTAATATTCAATCATTTATTTGTTTTCTTTTAGTTCCTTATCAGTTACTAATTATTTATTCTTAGGTTGTGGTTTGCCTGCCCGTGCTCTGCCTTGTGCCCTTTCCTGTTTTTGTTTGGGGTCCTCCTGGGCTCCTTGCCACTGGCTCTTGTTACTGGGTCGGGTGGGGGCTGCGTTCATTGAACGCCGCCTTTCCTTGATGATCTTGTTTATCATATTTTATGCACACAAGTTATCCGTACCTCGATCACATTTAGGTCCCTGCCAACCAGGATCACATAATCCAGTATTACAGGTCCCAGTTGTACTGTTGCAATTTGTATTGTTAAGGCAGTGGCAAGTAGATGAACAATCATATCCGAATGTACGATGATCGCATACTAAAAATTGAATACAAATGTTGAAGGAACTGCTCTGACTAAAAACATCAACTTGGAATTTCTTACAAGGATCAGCTGAGGCACATAAATCAGACATACACACAGAAATTCCTTTATAGTTTGCTATTCTTAGCCTGATTTCTTGCAAGATATTGCTATTATAAAAAAGATCTAGGAACTTTTTTTATCTTACCTTTATCACAACTAGGAGTCTGCCATTCAGGATCACATATACCATTGTGACATTCTCCAAATATTGCATAAAAACTTGTATTATTTAAACAATGACAAACCGAAGTACAATTCTTCGATAGCCACATGCTAAAATCAATATGAAATAAATGATTTAGCAATGTTTACTTTTCCTGTAGTATTTATGACGTGCATGCTTAAACATAAATTTATTGCAGTTAAAAAGAAGATCTAGGCAATATTTTGAATTTTACATCTTACCTTTATCACACCTAGGAGTCTGCCATCCAGCATCACATATACCATTGTGACATTCTCCGGATATTGCATTGCAACTTGCATTATTTAAACAATGACAAATCGAACTGCAATTCTGTCCGAATCTCCGATGGCCGCATGCTTAAAGCAAAATGAAGTAAATTATAAATAGGTAAGCAATGTTCACATTTCATATGATTCAATAGCGCAACCTGCATGTGTGTACTTGAACAACAGTCTTTTAAGCAGATATAACTTGCATATAACAAGAAGGTTTTTAAATAAATCAATTTTCTTGATTGATTAAGAATGCTATTATAGATTCATACTGTTGTAAGATCAAAGGAATGTGTACATATTTGGACCTTATATTCCAGTTGTAGGATATATTTTATCGGAAAATATGACATAGCAAATGTTTTAAATGGGAGACAAACAAATATCAAAGTGAATCATATCACCTTTGCTACATGTAGGTAATAACCAGCCCGGATCACACAATCCTGTATCACAATGTCCGCTTATATGATCACAACTTGTGTTGTCTTTACAATGACACATTTTGTTACACCCAATACCGAAGTTTCCATGATAACACACTGTTAGAAAAAACATCTTATGCTATGACATCATAAGTAAATACAGAACACATAGACGGAAGCCTTTCTTCGACATCACAACAAAATAACAGTTTACGTAATACTAAATCTGAAAAATTGAAACAATACATAGGATCTCAGGAGTCCGCCGTATCTGGAAAATTGTTTTATCCTACATTAACGAGTAGCAAATAAAAATGTAAGTTACACAATTTTCAGTTGATAAGGATGTATGCCATTGGTAATAAGACCAGTAGATATGAAATTTATAAAATTTAATCAACACATGTTAAAGAATAATGTGGTCATAAAAATTCATACAATTTTAAATTACATGTCAAAACAGAACAAATAGTTCAAAAGGCAAACATATACAGTAAGTGTACATAGCATATAATTATAATTTGTTTTCAAATCGCCTCCTTGGTCTGGAAATTCTATTCTGACAGTTTAACCGTACTGTTCTATTCCGTAAAGGTGAATTACAAGAATGTCACGTTGGATATCTGATCTCTTTGCTATGTTTAGCCTGCTGACATCTGTCGTGAACGATATTCTTTTATTTTCATTAATGTTTTTTTTTTTTGCTTTGTTTATCTCCCAATTTAGTATATCTGAACTATATCAGTTAGGCGGAGTTTTTAGGTAGTCAGCGGATAATTTTTAAATGAGAACTCTATAAGAGGAACGTTATTAAATATAACAATTCAAGTCAGTACAAACAAATTTGTACCCAGATATTAATCTATTGATCCTCAATATACTTTCTTTTGTTATAGAAGGCTTGGATTTTTCAATAATAATTCTCTTTTTCCAATTAAATCAATCTGACACAACTTGAAATCAGGCAACTTTAAATGCCTCACTTGATCGAAATATGTAAGAATGATAATACTTTTGTTGTTGTAATTTTATTTGAATAGTATGTTCTTTATTTGTTTTGCTTGGCCTGCTTACAGCCTAACTATATAATGCTATATTATAGTGTGTTTCGTATGAGAGGTCACTATAAGTTGAAAGGTTATATAAATTTGTTCAATAATATTTCACGTTCATGACCCTGAAATCCCCGCGAAACATCTTCTTGCTTAAGTAAGATATTTCCCTTCGCCAGTTCCACTTAGTATGAGTAACCGATATAAATTACTTTACAGTACAGTTGTGTGATACAAGTAGTTACTTTATATAAACTTGAGATACATTGTTTCAAGTTCTTGTATGATGATGCTTTTACGAATTGATATATTTGTTTATGTAAATTCATTGTCCATTGACGAATTTGATGAAATTTGTAATTTTATTGTTTTGTCAATCGATTATTTGTTATTTCCTTTTATTTTGTTTGTAAGCTCATTTTGTATGTCTCAGGTAATAAAGGAATGAACTAGACGATAGTCTTCAGTTATCCCCGATTACATGAATTTTAACCATTTATTGTCAGTTTCAAATTCAAAGCTTGGCAAATATATAACACAACTTCAGCAGAGTAAGTGTCAAACTTATTTACTCCTAAAACACTTTATAACAATATTTTCTATTTAATAAAACACTCATTGCTTGATTTTCTTTGACAATAGTCAAAGTCTATAATTTGCTTTGGTACTATTCTAAATCTATGAGGAATCTACTTTTTCTTTAAAACTAGTTCTCGTTTTCAATACAGACATAAACGCAGAAGAAAACTTCATAAACTTCATCCCTTAACATTGGATCTTATGGTTTTAAAATATTACAATTATAACATTGAAAGCGCAATTATGGAGTGTTGTCGATCACATTTTACAATTATCCGCTTTTTCATTTGCGAACATTCAGGGGATATAACTCAAAATCAAAATAAGCTAAAATTCGCTTAAAATGGTCTCCTCATCATTTTCTTAAATTTCGCAAAGCTGATATTTAATCTCTGAAACAAATTTAATTGTAACTGAAAACTTATTACATATAGTGATAATTTATTTCGTACATACTTATGATATACTAGACATGTTTCTGAGTTAGAAATTAACTGGCACCATTTCTTACATTTGTCACAGCTATCCGTTCTCCAACCAGGATCACAAATACCAACGTGACACTTTCCAGAAACTGCATCACAAGTTGAGTTGTTAGAACAATGACAGAGTGAAGAGCAGTTCCCACCAAATGTTCGATGACTACATGCTGCAATAGATGGTTTTGAGATCATAGGGGTATTTGCTATGGATAAATAGTCACTGTATAACACAATTGATAAAGGGATATGTACAATATTCTTACAAATGGCGAACAAGAAATATCCTGAAATGTTTATCTTAACCATACGGCCATTTCGTTTCCTCGAACAGGTTCAGCACTGTAATACATTTGAGGTAAAACTACAATATATTTTTATTCGTGACTATATTTTCATAATTATTATGATTTTGTTTCATATAATATGACAACATTTTTTCAGTTATATTTTTCTACAAGACATTTGTGTGTCAGAATTTAATGAAATATTATTTATTCCGGTGCAAGGATGGAATCGACTGCGCTTTAGAGTAATACGTCTGGCATTGTATAGTGTTAAAGTTTTGTCAGTTGTCCGTAAAGTTGTTTTGTGTCATTGAGGTGGTGAGTGAAACTTGATTAAGGCATTTGATATTAATCAGTCATTTGTTTTTCTAAATTCATTTTTTCTCTCTGATTTAATATTAAATTTGATTTTCCATATCTTAAAGATATAGCATATTGAGTGATAAAAGTACAAACCAAACAAAGATGAAACAATGTTATGGGCAACTATGTTTAATGTGTCATTGAAAGAAAAGTACAAAAGGCATATTTCACTAAAGCACATTGATAACTAGACTAATATTTAAGCTTTGAATATTTTAATTCTTACTAAAATCTTAACACATGTACTTATATGATTAAGAAATTCTTATTTGTATCTATGGTGATAATTCATAAAAAGAAATAATTACACATTTTCATTCCACTGGATACTCATGGAAATATAAGGGGTAAAAATTGCAATGTATATGTATACACAAATTAATACCCGTGTTTACATATTTAATACATACTTATGATATAGTAGAAATGTTTCTGAGTTAGATATTAACTAGCACCATTTCTTACATTTGTTACAGCTTTCCGTTCTCCAACCAGGATCACAAATACCAACGTGGCATTTTCCAGAAACTGCATCACAAGTTGAGTTATTAGAACAATGACAGTCGGAAGAGCAGTTCACACCAAATGTGCGATGACTACATGCTGCAATAGATATCAATCAAAATATGTTGTGATGGAAAGTTTATGGTTTTGAAATCATAGGGATTTAGTCACTGTTAAGCACAACTGATAAAGGGATATGTACAATATTCTTACAAATGGTGTACGAGAAGTACCCGAAAATATTTTTCGAAATTCGTAGCTTTGCATTCATTTCTCTAGACTCTTTTAATTAATTTTTTCTGATAAAGATATTTATTTATCATTATGAACTTTTTTGTGTGAGGGAGAAAGGTCGGATATCTGTCCATTCCTGAGTTATAATGGAGTCGACTATAAATTATTTCTATCGTAAACGAGGACCTCCCACCACTAAAAATACACCACCACATTCCTTTGTGCTAGTAAACAGATAATGCTCATTTGATTAAAGATTCCCGAATTTTTAAAATTTGAATATTGATTGGAACCCCTTCAAGAACCTTGTATTCACACTGGCTATAGCATTCGCAGAAGCGGTGGGTCCATCGCAGCGGCGGTGGAGTATTCGTCGCAGAAGCGATGGATCAAAAATGGCCATTTGCTGTTGTTGGTAAGCATGTGTAAAAACGAGCGCTCAGTACATCGGCATGGCTTCGTATGTATGGTTATTGCACATAACAACCATATTTTGGAAAGTTTGTTAAATGTCATTGCCTTCTTATAAAAGAATTGACAAAACATGATAACAACGCAAAGGGCAGTGAATTCGATTATAACGCCATGCGGTGAGCCCGATACCATTAAAGTCTATTTTGAGGGTCAAACATAACAAAGAAAAACATTCTATCCTCTATTTATATAGTTTTATATACACGGTGCTTGTTTGCAATATAACCTTTGTAATTATTCTATCGGTGGTGCATCAAGGTCATATGTCATGACCCCTAGTTTCCGCCAGGCATTGGTTCTTCGGTCCTGGCTGTCAAATGCATGATCTCTGAAGGTAATATCATGATAAAGAACACTGTATATGTTCTTACTTAAGTGAGCATTTCAACTCGAATGGTGCATCAAAATCGATATCTGTACACTAAGAAAATAAAATAGATTGTTCAAACCTTTGGACTATTTTTCTTCGATAACACATGAACCTGCCAGATAAGTTTTAATTGAAGAAAAATGGATGCGGAACTCAAGACATCTATTTGTATACATAATTATATTGTTTTAACACAAAATAAACACATTTTGTTCCTATGTCAAGCTAGGAAAAAAGTTGTTCTCGATTGAAAAGTGAGCTATATGTCAAGTTAAACACTTGGACTAATGCTATCGAGCCCACCGCACTGCGTTGCAATCGAATATACCGCCGTCTGCGTTGTAATAATAGTTTTGTCATTTATTTTATAAACCGGCAATACCAATTTACAAAAGTTTCAAAATAGATTGTTTTTTGCAAGTGTCATTCAGACGATACCATGCCGGTGTAATTATGGGTCGGTTTTTACGTGTTTAAAGTGTCGTCCCATCGTCAAACTGTTGAAATGTGTTTGCAAATAAATGGCAATGATATGTATCGTGAGCATTGGGAAAATTACATGTGGGTTTCAATGTCACTAGGTGTTTCCCATTAACAACTAAAACATAAAAAAGTTATTTAAGTCATAAACTTACCGACAAGGGCAAACGGCCATTTTTATCCACCGTTTCTGCGACGAATACTGCACCGCTTATGCGAAAGCTTTGGCCAGTGTAGTGTTAAACGGGACAATATTAGCTCAATAAGAAAACGCTAAAACAAACAAAGTGTGTACCGGTAATGGAGAATCTACACAATAGTTGTTAATGTCATATGTAAAAACACTTGACTACTTGTTTGTGTGTAAATGGCTTTGTCGAACAGGTTATTATTCGAACAATGATACCGAATATGGCACGTCCTTACTACATAAGGAAATTATGTTTGGATGTTTTATTGAAAATTTATTGAACTGTGACATGTACAGCCTAGTTTGAAAGTATATGATATGAATTACTAAGCAATAAGTAACATGATTTACTTTGAGAGATATTTTATTCCAATTATAACGAACTACATTTTAGGATATGTATCCAATGAATGGTGGCTCCATGTGTGAAATACTTTTGATATTTATGTCGGAGCTTATACAAAAGCATATACCAAATTGTCACCGGATTAATAAAATGGAATTATTCGCCACTTTTTTTTATAGACTGTCACAGGATTTCAGAACATTTTTGCTTTTTTTCAAGTTAAAACCGGGTGTATAAAACAAACTTTTACTGTCACAGGTTCGAACATAGTTACACATGGTTGACTAGTCTATTGTAACCGGTAGTGCACAATGAAGCTATAACGATAAAAGTTTGTTTGTGGCTTGGAAAACCCCACATTTGCCGCGTTCCGGATAACATCTATTTGATTATCATGTAGATTGGGTATATATGATGCAACACAAAGCTGCCTACTCGGCCCAGAACCATTCGTTTGTTAATACATATTTCAAATACTTCAAGAGATTCATGATGGCACTACTTCAGTAGATGCGGAAAATAAAAGTTGAATAATTTAAGTATGAGCTATGATTTAAATCCACCCAGGCCAGTCCCGCCACAATTGTGAACTAGCATTTGTACAAGCATGCCATAGGTCGTACAAGTACCGGATACCTGTTGTAATCAAAGTGTTCATTCCTGATAAATAAGTAATAGAAAGAGCACCGAAACACGAGGTTATCTGATTTGTACGAGGGGGCGTAGCCCCCGAGTATTAATCAGATTACCGAGTGTTTTGGTGTTCTTTCTCTTTTGTATCATAGTCAAACATAAAAACACGTTCCCTGTTGTCACAATATGAAACCCCGGCGAAAATGAACCAATGAACGAACATCTGAATATGATATTTCTGTCGCTTTCCCTTTCTCTGCCGTCACAATATGTAAACCCCAGCAAAAATGAGCCAATTAATGGGCATGCTCTGGAGTGCGGGTAACTAATACCCGCACTCCAGTTAACGCACTGTGCATGTATATGTATACGATTTAACCCTGACACATTTTCAACAGAAAGGCCCAAAACTATTATACAATGTATACACTTATTGAACGGGAAACTGTATTTATTTGTCCTTCTAAGTAGGATAGTCCGGTAATTTCAAACATATTTATGTAATTTTTCTATTGATTAAAAACCTTAAATTACTGCTACTATTGGCTACTGCAGCTTTTTTTGCAACGGCTACTGCTAATGCTGTTTGGGTACTGTGGCGGAGGGAAAGAAGAATTTATATTCTAACTCTAAAATATAAGTGAAAAAAAGGATTAAAGATTTTTTATTTAAAGGCAACGTTCATAGGAGCAATCCCTCTACACCCAAGTAAGGCACCCAGAAGGCACCCAAACAAAGCCTTTTCCATTCGCTTCTTTAAAAACCTTCTTGTCTGGGCGTCAGCCTTTTTCAAATTTGTTCACATTCCATTTCCAATGTATACCGTACTTGTAATATATTAAATTTCTTTTTGAATTTAATTTACATTTATATTTGCATTTGTAAAATAACTAAATAAATCATGTCATGCATAAAATTCCCATTATGAAATAAAATACATTTTGCTCGAACTGTTAGTGTCATTCACATGAATCATAAAAATATATGACTAATTAACCTAAAAGTACTGCTACTGCTACTTCTACTACTACTGCTACTGTCACTGCTTCTGCTCCTGCTGCTTCTACTGCTTCTTCTTCTTCTGCAGCTTCTGCTTCTTCTACTGCTGCTTCTTTCAACTACAACTGGTATCTACCTTAAATGCTACGACTAGGTCCATGACTGCTATTACTACCCATCGGGCGTTCATGGCCGCGTTGGTTTATTCATGCTCCTCATGTGTAGAAGCTATCCAGCTTGTTAACGGAAAGTCCGTGGTTCTACTCAGGTGCTCTGCTACTGCTCCTGTTACTGCGTATGATTCTGTAACTGCTTATGCTTTTGATTTTGATACAGTTGCTGCTGCTTGTCTTTACTGTTTCTGTTGCCAACTACAGCAACCACCACTACTACTACTATTGCTACTTATTGCTACTGCCACTGCTAATACTATCGCTACTAAGTTTGCTACTATCCAATTACTATTTGCTTGTATCATATAACTTACGGTCTGTGCATGCTTCACCTTTCCAGCCTACCAGGCAACCAGGTGTCTGACATTTCCCTGTCACTTGATCACATGTGTTATTGTCTGAACAATGACAACCATGCAAACATCCCGATCCAAAATAACCGACTTTACATTCTACAGGAAAAATAGAACATATAGAAGTTTTAAAGCGCAAAGTAAATTAGTATGTGTTTTCACTTTTCACTTTCTTGGTATAAGGATAGGCAAATCATTTAAATATTTCATAATTTACATTTTCAAAGACAACAAAAACACATGTCTTCCAACTTATTAAAACAATAATAAACATTATTATTTCAAAACATATTTGTTCCTACATTCCATCTAAAGTTTGTCGAAGTAAATTCTTTTAACAATCGCCAGTCTCTGGAAAATTTAACAGCTAATAACTGCTTTGCAAATGAGTAGCAAATGTTCTGGGAACTAAAATGGTTGTTAAATAATTAATCAAGTCTGTGAAACTTTTTATTGTGTTAAAAGCACATAAACCCTTATATATGAATCTACTGAGAACACAAACAAAAGAATTCATCATCTGTATAGTTATTTTATTTAAATCCGTTATATGAGTGATACATGTGTACATATCAATTTAATCTTCAAAATTTGATTTCACTTAAACAGTTTATGTGCGTATAATCATGTTTGTTCTATAAATATTGTTTAAAGACTAAAGATGCAAATATACTCATTTCATGAGTTACCTTTCTCATATAACTTGAATTCACACAAAGTCAAAAACGTCTGTGGCAGCTCTACCAAAATGTATTGCACAATCAGTGGATCTAAGTCATTTGTAAAGATTCGTGTGTCAGTTATATTAGGAACTTCGTAAACCTTCATTTTATTCGATGACATGTTGGAGGCCATGGATGCATTGCAAGCATATACTACTGCATGTTGCAATTGCTCTGGATAACCTATCACGATTTAACAAGATTATACATTCAATTAAGTGTTCTGCGGTTGTGTGATTAAAACATAATTAATTTTGTGTTGAAATGTCCTAACAAATACATGCATATTAGTGTATGAAATATTAACTAAGTAAAGACGAGAATGCAGATTAATCAAAAATGCTTAAATTATATATACTTTACTTCCATCGTATGCATATAACTTCATAACACTTAATCGAACTGAGGCAGGTTGAGAAAAGAAATACATTTATGTTTTAATTTGTAATACTATACCTTGACATACACACCTTACGTTTGATTAAATCTAGTGAAGGAGACATATAACTAGATCTATATTTATAAGATTAAGAAAAAGTACAACTTAAAACGCCATTTTACCCGATTCTCGTCCAAATATCTGAATAGCACCAATCAAGTATCTTTGTTTAAGATCAATTTGCCACCACGAAGGAATGGGTCCGTTTGTTACACTGCAACATTTACATGTATCTACTGCATAATTGTGTACCCCGTCTATTGCTTTACTCGAGTTAAAATCGGACGGATTTTCATGAGGAGCATATGTACTTGATTGTCTCGTAACGACGTTTGCTCTGATACGCTTGATTAGATTTAAATCTGAAATTAACATAAAGTAAATAATTGACATATAATGATTTTAATCATAAAGTATATTCAAAATAACGTTATTTTCTTATATATATTTACTGAGATCATAAACTCATAAACATTTGAACTTTGTCTCATCAATTATCTTTACATGCGCGCACTTTAAATCAAAGAAATTGAGTACATTAAATAACTCTTGATGTTTTCAAAAAATGAAAATATTTAAATTTTATATATATAAATTTTTTTTTTTTTGCGATACCCCACTGAAACATGTTTTTAAATTTTAAAATTTTTTTTCTCGATTCTATTAGGGAGCAATTAGTTCGTATAGGACGAAAACATAAATTAAAGCGTTTAAGCGACTGTCAAATCGATACCTGTGCTACAGTTAAAACCTGACCATCCAAATGCACAACCATAACTACAATTTCCATCCGTTTTACGACATTCGGCATCATCTTTACAGTTACATATACCATCACAATTTAAACCAAATGTACCCTTTGGGCAGTCTAAGTTAAAAAAAAAAAAAAACAGATTAAATACATAGTATCATTATAATTCTCATAAATCAAAGCACTAAAAGCACTGTTTGTAGAAATATCTGGAAAATAGTGATCCTACGGAAGCATTAAAACAGCAAAATTACATGGAAATTGCAGACTCGGTTTGATTGAGGTTGTACATGAGGAATAATAGAAAATGTGCAACATCCCTTATGCCCTCTAGCACCGGCTTGAGCGGTACTAAATTTTCAAAACTTAAAAGTGCTGGACTCAATGCTTCCGAAGGACCAGAAAAATATAACAACACTGAAGTGAAGTACGGGGAAACTATTTGCGGCTTTCACACAGCACTTGACACCTGCTGTTGTAATGTTTTAATATCTGGAAAAAAGTGATCACTTGCAAGCATTAAAAACAGTAAAAATACATGAAAATTGCAGACTTGGTTTGATTTAGTTTGTAAGCCCCGAGCATTTTATGCATATACATATTTGCAGGGTTAAAGTAAATTGGTACGCGTAAGTTCTTTTTAAAAATCTTAGTATAGACGTTTAATTCTTGTTCAAAATACACTTGAAGCAGGCTTTCTACTGCCTCTACCAAAAAAACTAGGGAAAAAGTAGGGCATTTTTTTACCAAAAAGTAGGGCAAAGTAGGGATTTCTGATGTTAAAAAGTAGGGATAAAGTAGGAATTTCTTACCGTTTTAGTTAAGACTTACCATCACCAAGACCACATCAGGCTGTGTGTATCTTCAGTTCAGTCCATGCTTGAAAAACAGGTACCTGAAATTGTTTTTTATTTCTCTTTAAATACAAGTGCACCAATACAAAATGTTATTTACAATGGTAAAGACAAATATAATCAACAAAACAAACATACAATGAGTATATCTAGCACATAGTTTTAAGAACATTCACATTAGTAAGGCATAAGCTACTAGATCCTAGTCTATTACATAGTCAAGGTAAATGCAGACAAGCTGTGAATACCAACACCAGGATGTACACTAAAAGCTATATGAACAGGACTGCATGTTACTGTATGAGCTACATGTACTTGAGGTTAAACTGATGTATATTCATGTTAATATGTTGCATAAATTATAGTATATTGAAAGGGCAAAGGTTATGTCCAACATGCCACAGTGTAGTATTTTAAGGAACAATAGGTACAAGTAGGTTACATGTATGCATGCTTCAGTATACTGCCAAATGTTAATGTTAAATGTTACATGTACATATAAATACAATTTGTGATTTATTTGCCAAACATGCATAGTTACATCTGTAAATACAATCTAGCTGAGAAACAAGCCTAATCCAAGCTTGCTACCAGATTGTTGTGCATTATTGTCAACAAGACAATGAAATGATTTGAATTTTTAAGACCTGTCATTTTCATGATTAAGCTTAACATTATATCATGTTGACAAAATGCACAACCATCTGATGGATAGTGATGAAGCAATACCAAGGTATTTGCACATGTTAGATTTTTGTTAAGTGACAATTAAAAGCTTGGAATCTAAATTGATAAGTCACACTGATGCAACTTTACTCAGACACAAGAGCAATTGGTCAATGCAGTGTTTGATACCCACAGCTGCCAATGCTTTAATCACATTTCAATGTTTTATTTAAACCTTGTAAAATTTTTGATTGATGACTTTGTTTTAAAATATATGGTCTAATAGACATGGAGAAAATAACACAAACACAAATGAAATTAATAAAAAAATATGTTCTTTAGAATCAGTACAGCATGGCAACTGTGGAATCCCTCAGCTAATGCATTATTGGGAATATTTATAAACCTAATATAGACATTAATAAGCACTTGGCAGTGTCAAACTAGACTGAAGCATGCATTCATTTACAAGAGGAACATGGAAATTATAAAATAGTAGTTATTTAAACAATCAGTATGGTTTCATGTATTTACCTCATAGCCAGAATGTTGCTGAATGTTTTGCCAAGGCACCATGAGTCTTTCAAGGATGGACATCACAAGGAGACACACACACACCTGAACTACTCATCAATTGCAACTGAAAATACTACTGAAATACCATTTTAAATATCTTCTTTTTTTCATTTCATTTCAAAATTAAAAAGTAGGGATAATAGGGCTATTTCAGAAAAAAGTAGGGCAAAGTAGGGATCAAAAGAAAAAAGTAGGGAAAAGTAGGAAAAGTTGGAAAAGTAGGGACCAGTAGAAAGCCTGTTAAAGCTAAACAAAGGCCTTGTTGAACAAACATTCAATTTACAGAGCATCGAGGACAGAAATTGTGTCAACAATTTAAGATGATAGGTCAATGCCATTGCACATACAGGTTACATGTACAATAAGTGATTGGAATGTAGCACATATACGTTTTTATATATTCACAAATTTTACTTCACAAAGGTGAAATCGTCAAATTGATAATGAATTCAATCAACTGAATATGACAATTTAACATAACCAATGTCATTTGTTTCTTTTTATCTGTCAAAGTAGATTACCAAAGATTTATTTCGAGTAAGTAAATTGTTCCTGTTCCTCATTTGGTACGAGAGGACAAAAGTGTAGGAATATATTTGGTACAGAAGAAGCAGGAATGTAAGTTTTTAACTATGATAAACAATATCAACAAAGAAAGGCGGCGTTCAATGAACGCAACCCCCACACGATCCAGCAACAAGAGCCAGTGGCAAGGAGCCAAAGAGGACCCTAAACAAAAACAGAACAGGGCACAAGAAATCGTATGATGTCGATGCATTACATTGCGATATGGTAATTGTTAAGATAAGCTAATTACTACAAGACATATAAAAGTCAATAACCGTAGTTGTTGTGCGATGACAGATAGGTGATATGATGTGATCATCCGAAACGGCCGACTAATTATGGATAAATTGCTTGTTAAGCTCGGTTTTTTTCGTATGGAAATTGTAGTCTCTAAAGTTTTTAAGGATTTTAGCGATGGATTCATATTTAAACTCTTAAAATGTTTGGTTGCAATTAAAAAGATGGGAGTGCTGCGAGGTAATAATTTTTCGGGACACAATTCCGATGCTAACAGACACTTCTCTCACAGATACTTAACACCCCAGACATTTCACCCCAATGAATTAAACTATATACTCTAAAAGTTAAGGGATGAGGGCGTGAAGTCTATTATAGATGTTGGGGATTTATTGTCTTGAAGCTGGTGTTCTAAAATGTGAGGGTTGGAGGATCTGGGAGTAAAGTGTTTTGTTCCCTAGCCGATATACCTGGTCAGAAAACTTGCAATCAGACGTACTTATGCATGTATGATGTATGTCTTAATTTGAACAAAGTTACCTATACAATTCTTTTGTATAATAAGTACAACAAAGGTACATCAAATAGAATCATGGTTAATAGGTTTTATTTATAGTTAGTTTCTTTTGTTTCATCAATCTGAACCATTTTTACCGCGCAACAATGAATCATATTTTTGAAATTTTTGTCATTTTCGCTAAAACTCGCCAGAAGCTTCAGAATGTGTGTAGATACTACAGTGGTTTATGCAAAATAACAGACTGTAATCTGATCTAATGTTATCAGGAAAAAAATGGTATTTTTGAATAAAGTAGCATCAAAGTTTCACCAAGTATTCTATTTGACAACAAAATTTGCAATACTTGTAGATCGTTAAACACGATTTCAGTATTGTGATAACGCCAGTCTTTATGTCTTTAAATTCAAGAATTTTACTATTGCAATTCATAATTCTTACATTAATATTGTAATACCACCTTTAGTATAACTATGATTTCATCTCTTGAAAGAATTTACTGATAAGCGCATTATCTCTGATCCAATTTTAAAGTTACACTGTTTCCTGGACCTTCTTCTTCAAACGTTAAGTGCATACACAATTGTTACGACAAAAGAATAATACGGCCATGAAATGACGCAAAAACGATCATATCCAAAGAACGACTTTCGCATTTTCATAGCGACTCCACGTGGCATTTTAAAGATGGTTTTATTACTAGTAGAGTATAGTATTAATGTAACAATAATTAGATAAAACAAATTGAAACTTCTTAAGAATAACGAATGTTTACCAAACATTAAAGATAAACAAAAAATGAGAAAATGTGTTTAATCATAAAGTGACAACTCACCGTCTTCACATGCTTCACCTGTCCAGCCTGCCAGACAACCAGATGTCTGACATTTCCCTGTCACTTGATCACATTTGCTATTATCTGAACAGTGACAACTATGCAAACATTCCGATCCAAAATAACCTATATCACACTCTTAATAAAAAATATTCACATTAATTTAACAGTTATTAAATAATAACTTCTTATAGAGGGAGTTGAATCATGAGGATAGTTTAAAACCCATGTAAATATAAGCGCTGTAATCTTATTAATATAGTTATTATGACCTTGAAGTTATTCAAACTTTCCTTTGCCTAGACACATTAAATTTGTACACGAATTTTAAGTACCTTTAAAAAGTGATGCAAACATTAATCTTATCAGGGTAAGATGTTAATTCTTGTAATTACAAATTCGACATCGTGAAAGAAACTTGCATTTTGATTGATGCAAATAGTAATTACGTTCTTGAATTCAAAGACTTTAGTATTTTGTAAAATATTAATTTTTTCGTATCAAATTGTACTATCACATTGAAAAGATTACATAATTAAAATTTAAAGCGATACCTTTCCCAAATAGCTTGAACTCGCACAAAGTCAACACGTTTTGGTTCAATACTACCCTGAAGTACTGTGCGATTATTGCGTCTAATTTTTTTGCAAAATTCCGTGTACTAGTCATCGATGGAACTTTGTAAACAAAAGTCATGTTTGTTTTTATTGATACGTTTCCAGCATAAATTGTTGCATTTTCTAATTGATAGTTATAATCTGCCAAAGAAAATAAATCGATTGTTAACGCTAAAAGCAAAATAGATGTATTTCTGCTGTGTTATATACTAGTATATCCCAAAAATTAACCATTCCTATTTTCTCTAGAGGAACCATTACTAACATTAAGTTTTTATTTCCAATTATTTTTTGTAAAGACCTGAGACTTAATATGACTGATTTTGTTTGTTTCGTTTTCTGATAAGGTTGATATTATGTTCATTTTATTATTCTAATATAACTATGGAGAATAATAGAAAATGTCATATTTTAAATGAAGTTTTGAGAATAGTTGTTGCTAATTTAATATGTTATTTATGGACTGTAAAGATCTGAATACAAAATTGTCTATAGTTAGCCAAAATATATTATCTTACTTATTTTACTTGCTGCACGGCCAAATATCTGCAAAGAACTTATCAAGTATTTCTGTCCAAGATCAATTTGCCACCATGAAGGAGGTGCTCCGTCTGTTACACTGCAACATTTACATGTATCTATTGAATAATTCTGCACCCCGTCTATTGCTTTACTCGAGTTAAAATCTTGTGGATTATTGGATGGAGAATAAGTACTGGACTGGCTTGTTGTGACGTTTGCTCTGATTTGTTCGATAAGATGGAATTCTAAAACGATAAAATTGAGACAATTGTTTTGGATTTCAAAAAGAAATATTAATACAATGAACATTTTTACTTTTACATAGTTTGCAGTTATATCAAGTTACTAACTTTCCATTCAAATTGTAATAATGATAAATTGTAACAAATACATATTTATAGCAGTGTAACACCGCACTTTTGGGTCAAACGCACTTTGGGTCGGACCCCAGAGTGCATTACGCACTTTGGGGTCCAATTTCGACCCCAAAGTGCGTTATACAGGTACATATGCATTTTTTAACATCAGGCAAACGACCGCACTTTGGGGTCATAGAAAATTTATGTTCATTATGTTTTAAATAATATATTGTAGTCAAAGCCAATGGTAAACAAAAAATCAAGGTATTAAATAGACGCAAAACATGTGTACTGAATTATAGTAGAATTAATAGGGATTTAAATGGTCTTGATTAGTAAGTGAAGAACTTTCACCAAATTAATCACCAAATAAAGAATTTGTATCAATTATTAAGCTTAAAATATTTTTTTCTCAAATTTTCCATTTATTTTAAAAGAATGTACACCTTTCATTAACTCCATAGTTTTTAGTTAAATGCATTATTTTTTATTAACACATAGAAATATGATTATCTTAGCATAGACAAAGGTATAAATTCATGGAAATCTTAGTAAGACATTTTAGTAAAAAATGTGCCTGACAATATGTTGAATTTATTCAGTTAAATGTGACATATAAGAAACTTGACTAGGTGTAGATGCGGCTTTAAGTAGTAGTCCGTATAGGCAGTACTAAAAATATTTAAATACTATTTAAGTAGTCGCACATTAAGAGCTTCAGAATAATATAAAATTTTTACTGGGGGTATAGAGGGGAGTGTGGTGTATCGATCCCCCGAGGGTTAAAATAACGTTTTAAAGGCCCATTATGCTTTTATTTGTTTTTCTTAAAAGCTTTTTTATTTTGATGTTCTCCTATATTATCCAAAAATACACATTGGCGAATTACCTGAACCATATTTTTCATCTGTTGCTTTTTGGCAATGATGAGTACAGTTAAAGTAAATTAGTATTTTATATGGAAGTCAAATACTACATTGTCTTGACTACTTTAATGACAAATAATTTCACATTTATCGCTACATTTCTCTGATATCATTATTTTAACATTATAAAATTCATGTTTGCTCTAAGATTTCCCATAAAAAAGCCTCTGGCGAACGGTTGTTACGGAGCTTAAAAAAACCTTAAGTTTGCTGATAAGCTTAATAATGTATTTGTAAAAATCAATATTTATAGTCCGATCGAAAAACTTGATGTTTCACAAGAACATTGCAATAGAGTATACAAGTATAGTTCTTTGGAAAAAATATTAACTGCATTTTATTTCATTCCCAACATATTTAAAATGGGGCTCAATATGGCATCAAAACTGACAGAACGGGATATTTTTGCAGCATCTTTCAATTTTAGGAATACACAATTTCTGTACTAAAGTATTTTGAACGGTGGCATAAAAGAGACATTTGCATTTTTTTGGATACTTTTTTGTTTGTTTTTTGTACATATTTATTTCTTTTGTCGTACATTTTTTTTAGTTTTGAATACATACTTTTTTTTATAGTTTTGCATACATATTCTTTTTTAATTTGCATACATATTTTATTATATGTTTTTTGTACATATTTTATTTTTGTTTTTTTCGTACATATTTTTACACGACGCCATTTGCAAAGTAGAGGTTTGGACAATTACGCCATTTGTAAAACACCATTTTTCAAACACTTCGCCATCTTTAAATTAAAAGTACCCCATTTTGCAAATGCCATTTGCAATCCAACATTTTCATTTTGGAGGTATAAAAAAACAACACTTTTTAGTAATATATAGTCCGCGTAACCCAGAAAGGTTCTGATATGTCTCGAAATGTGCGTTAATATTTGACACAAGGTGCCTTAAAATCCTCCATGGGGTTTATGTGTTAAAGTTCGACATGAAACCAAAGTCTTAATCCTTTGACCTGTAGCTGTGACCCCGACCTTGAGCCGGCACACCTGGCATATAAGTTCTGCACATTATCTGGATGTGCTAAAGAATTGACCCAAGCTTCTTAAAAATCCTTAAAAGCTTAAAGCATTTTTTCTAAATCAGTGGAATATAAGGACCTATTTAGATCCTTTATTGTGCAATATTGTAATACACCAGTCATTTGTAACCACCTCCCTTGCCACCGGGGGAGTGCGGGTTAAAAAAGAATCGTGTTTTGATGTTTGCGCTGTTCCGAGGCATAAGGCAGGGCGAGGATTCAACCAGTTGTCGCTTGGTTTAAAGTCAATGCCCCCCCCCCCCTATTCCAGGGGGTGGGGGTTGAGTGTTGCATATTCATGGAATAATTACTGATCACCAATCAACAGCCCTTTCCAAATAGACACTAATATAATAGTATATAATAATAATAAAAAACAATAATTATATAAAATACATATAATTAAAAAAATGGGTCGAAAACGGTCGGCCGAAACCAGACTTGCCCGGCCGAAAACGACTGGGCCGATTTAAAAAATGGGCCGAAATGTTACCAAACCACTGTGCTAGTTTAATACTCAACTATGGGCTGTTATGAGATGTGAAGGCTGTTTTGATTGGCTAAAATATGTACGAAAAAACTAAAATAAAATATAAATGCAAAACTAAAAAAAATAATGCAAATGTCTCTTTTATGCCACCGTAATATTGTTATATGAACACAATTTTTAGATATTTCAAGTGGTAAAATTAATGAAACTTTTATAAAGTATTGACCGCCACTTTGAACAACACCTCAAATATTTCAATGTCGCAGATCAAAAATAAGTCAGTACTCAGTATTTAAGCTGAACTTAGATGACACCTTTAGACCTCTGGAACCCAAAGTGCGTTGATATGTAACATATTAACGCACTTTGGGGTCAGTTTCTCGATTTTAACCCCAAAGTACGTTGGACCCTAAAGTGCGGTGCGAAGTTTAACGCACTTTGGGGTCGAACCCCAAAGTGCGTTTGACCCAAAGTACGGTGTTACATAGCAGGAAATGTTTGAGTGATTTGTTTGGGAATAGTACGTTAACAAAATACGATTTCTATAATTACTTTGTGATTATTTGCTTTGTTCCGATTTGTCTATCATTAGGATGGGATGGGGTATAAGCTGCAGAGGATAATTTTAATCTAAAGCACTAAAACATCAATACACAAACATCCATCACAAAACTAATAATTCTACTTTTACAAATTGATGATACATGCTTAAATTTATGCTCTGCATGTTGTATGTTGGAGGAAAAGACTTTTGAAACATGTAAACAATATACATCTGTGTACATGTAAACTGTGCCAAACCTACCCCCCCCCCCAACCAAAGCACATGAACCAGTCATTTTTTAATATCAGTGAAATGACTTTTGGAACAATTTCAGGGTTCTTGTATGTAATGATACATGCCAAATAACTGAGATCTGGGATTTGTAAATTTACATAAGAATACATATATGAAAATAAGTTTTTCTATCTATGTGACCCCTGGAGCAGGGCCAATATTGACCCCAGGAACATGATTTATATAAATTTTGTAGTTGTCAACAAGGCATTGCTTCATGCAAAATATCTAAGCTTTAAACATAAATATAAAATTGTTTGGGCATATCATAAAAATGTTTGCTTATTGCCTTCAGCAATTCAAACTGCAGGGTTAGACATGGCTAAATTTATTATACTGGTATTTCTCCCTGTGAACAGAAATGTTTGTTTTGATGTTTAAATTACAGAGGTACAGGCACTTTACATCAGTCCTCCAAACTCAATAGAAGTCTTTCAATAAGGGAGAGATTGCCCACAATATAACATAGCAAGTATTCATGATCCAAAGTTTTTGATAAAATTACCTTAAAAAAATGACATTTTATATGCCTCATTTACAACTTATTTAGTGAATTTACATTATTTTAAGAAACATCCGTTTTAAGTAATAATATTGTGTTATTTTTTAAATAATAATCATATAGTCATATAAAACTCTCCTCAATTATTATAATCTTGACAGGGGAAACAATCTTAAGATATGAAGTTTGATAAAAAAAATAAAAAATACGAAGTAATAAATTTGGAAAAGAAAGGGAGGTAAATCATTTTATTGGGAGGAAAATTATTAAATTTCCATACATTGTACTCTCCTTTTATACACTTTTTACCACTTTATACTCTTATTTAACGATTTTTGAATGAGTCAGTTGTGACCTTGACCTTTGACCTGAGGTAGTCCCAAAACTGCTCCTGCACATCATCGCAGTAATTATAAATATTTCCTGCCAAATAGACTTAAAATTTCATACTATCGGGAAAGAAACAAGAGCGACACAAAATTTTGATATTGGATAAAAAACTGACTAAAAATTGACATTGAAACCGTGACCTGAGAAAAGTTCAAACCCTGCGCTCTACACATCATCCTCATCATGTTTTAACATTTTATGCCAAGTAGTTTCAATTTCTGTTCCACTGAGTTTAAAAAAACACCCAGACCGGACATACACAACTCCTATGTAAATTTAAAAAAAAATCAATTAAATTTCCCCCGGGACGGGGCCAATTTTGATCATTAGGAAGTCCCCAAATTGTGTTCTGCACACCGTCTAAAAAATATTAAGTTATAATTTTCTGCCAAAAAACGTTTTTTAATTTCTTTCCACATCGGGTTAAAAGATTACAGACGCGGGACAACAAAATTTAAAATTGAA